ATACATTCTTCGAGGCGGGCCATGTCTGCGATTCTGAAGAACAAAAGTCACACGATTCAGAAGACGAGTCAGAGGTCGAATCAGAGGTCAACGAAGAGGAAGGAAAGGGTTTACAGAAAGCTCCGGATGGGGGCTACGGTTGGGTGGTGGTGTTCGCTAGTTTCATCCACCATGTCATTGTAGGTAAGTGGTTTCAAAATGCTATGTCATCGTATGCAAATGTGCTGAACGCTATTCTACACAAGTAGAAAAGACTTTGCAATGTCTTTCAACCTGAAATTGTCACGCATAATCAGTGTCGTTGCTGGGGTTGGTGGCGCCTGGGATGGCCAAGCTTATCCTCACTCCCCTTCAACATAAATACTCTGCACTTGGCCGAAATCGCCTCTCCTCAATATAAAGGAATAAAAAGCTGCACGGGTTGATCGCCGCCACCCCCCCCCCCCACACCCACACACTTTCCTATGCCACTGTGCATAATGAATTCGCTACTAGAAACATGGGACTGATAGGAACATTCACATTGTAGGTTTGAAACTGTTGAGGATGTTAATATAATTGAAATATATTTGTTAACATTAATTTTAAATACTTTACATAAACTTAGCTTTTGTTCGTGTGATTCCTTCTTTCTGTCTGGGAGTGTGGCGAAATATTCGGATGGCTAACTGACCCACTTAACGTCAACCTATCTAGCTTAAACTTGGTAAATAGGCTCGTTGCCGATGCTAACCCGTTGTATCAAATTTTCAGGCCCACCCAGGCAATTTTCCTGTTTTTAATAGGAAGATAAAGGAAATATCAGCCACTAATGTCGCGAAATAAAAGTGCCGATAACTGCGGAGATTTTTAAAAATATTGCAAGTACGTTTGGTGCGTAATATTTTCTAATTTTTCTGAAAGATTTAGTTTAATAAATATGCCATGTAAAAGCAGGTGAGACTAACAAAAATTCATATAATATTTTAAAAATAATAAAAAATGCGTATGAAGAATTTATAATAAAACTTTCTGTTTAGGGAGTTGTTTAATTACTGAACATTTTAACTAAAGTAGTAATGAATAAAACACACTTACTAGATACTGAGACATTAACAGGCTTGGATCAAAAGTTGAAATGTCATGGATGTCAGGTGACATCGTTGATTGTGTACCATTGTCATATCTCCAGGAGGGTTTGCCCGCAGTGAGGGCTTGTTCTTCCTTCAGTACCAGGAGCGGTTCCAATCAGGTGCACAGCTGACAGCCTGGCCCAGTTCTTTGATGTCTACATTAAACTTTTTCATGGGTCAGTTTTTATTTCATGCATTATTAGTATGGTCAATATAAATCATTAGTAAGGCAGTTAGATCTTACTAGTGTGGTCAGAAGATATAAATATTGTGGTCAATGTATATCATAAGAGTTTTCTTTATATATAAATAATGTGGTCAGTACAAATCATTAGTGTAGTCAGTATCATATATGATTAGGGTGGTCAGTAAAATAAAGAATCAGTGTGGTAAGTAAACTATAGCAAAGGTGTTGTCAGTAAAATATAACTTTAGTGTTATCAGTACAGATCATTAGTGAAGTCATTATATATGATTAGTGTGGTCAGTAAAATATAGCATTAGAGTGGTCAGTAAAATATAGCATATCGTGATCAGTAAAATATAGCATTAGTGTGGTCAGTACAGATCATTAGTGGAGTCATGATTAGTGTGGTCAGTAAAATATAGCATTAGTATGGTCAGTAAAATATAGCATTAGTGTGGTCAGTACTGATCATTAGTGGAGTCAGTATATATGATTAGTGTGGTCAGTACAATATAGCATTAGTGTGGTCAGTACAATATAGCATTAGTGTGGTCAGTAAAATATAGCATTAGTGTGATCAGTAAAATATAGCATTAGTGTAGTCAATACTGATCATTAGTGTAGTCAGTGTATATGATTAGTGTGGTCAGTAAAATATAGCAATAGTGTGGACGATAGCATGAGCGATATATCAATCATTTATGAATTACTGATGTCATATTTACTATGTCATAATTACTATGTCATATTTACTATGTCATAATTACTCTTAACTCATGTACAGCAGTATACGTTTAATTGGTTTAATTGAATTTATCAGTAATATTCCAATTTAAATACTATCTTATCTATTTTTTATGTTATCAGCGTAGTGAAGCGTAGTGAAGCGTAGTGAAGCGTCAAAAGAAATGACATACAATGACGGAAATTTGTAAAAGTAATAAACATACAATGACAGACATTTGTAGGATAACTCAAATATTCATTTCTATCTAAATAAAGGTCCCATTTGTGGCGCGATAATAAATCGCTACAGTGTGAGAACCGCTCTGATTCTAGCCACCATCTTGACGTCTGCTGGCTTTATACTTAACGGCTTTGCACCGAATGTTTATTTTTTGTTTTTCTCCACTACTCTTGTGGGCGGTAAGTTAATGGAACAATCTAGACGTTAACACCATTAGATAAGTTAGTTCAGTTATTGATTTATTTTTGTTATTCACGGAATATCTGAAGAAAGGTCTTTGCTAACAGTTCCGTTGTATTTCCCTTACCCTGTGAAACTCATTTCAGTAGAAAAATCTAAAAAGACTAAAACAATGATATTATCCCATTAGCGAAAAAGATTTTCTTGTAGGGAAATTCTAAAGTTTTGATGACATAAACAAATCTTTTTTTAACTGGATTTAACCACCAAAAAAAAAAAAATGAAAAATTTATTTCATATATTATCAGCATATAATGCTATTGATCACTTATCAGATTAAAACTATTTGAACTCAGCAAAGCAACAAGTTTATCCATGTAGTCATCACTCTTTTATAATAATGTGCCACGGTGGAGGATTAAAAAAACAACAACATTTGTGGCGGAAGTAAGTTCCAAAATGAAAAGAAATTTTTTAATGTATTATATTTGTTTTGACAGCAAGGTCAATACTTGACATGTTTATTTAAGGCAACGAGTTCATTCATTTTAGCGGGGCAATTCCTAGCAATATTAAAAAAATAATCATTTCACTCTAAATTTGTTTAATTGACTGTTTTCTGTTTTAACCATTGCTCAGGCTTAGGTCGGGGTTTGATGTCCACTGTTTTACTTATAAACCTGTACTTTGACAAGCACAGGAGCGTGGCCCAGGGGCTGTCTTCTGCTGGTGTGGGTTTAGGAGCCTTCGCCATTGTCCCATTGGTCCAGGTTCTTTTTGAGATATATGGTTTCACTGTAAGATCTTTAGTTATACATAAACTGTTTCATTTCTTACACATGTATTTATTTCGTTGTAAAAAAAGAACTAAAAAAGTATAAATTTAACCCCGATTAAAAAGTATAATTACCAAATAACTTCCAAGAATGTAAGGCTATAAATGCTATAATGCTATACATGCTATACATATTTACATGCTATACATGTTTTACATGCTATAGATGCTAAAAATTTTTTACATGCTATACATGTTTTACATGCTATACATGTTTTACATGCTATACATGCTATACATGCTATACATGTTTTACATGCTATACATGCTATACATGCTATATATGTTATATATGCTATACATGCTATACATGCTACATATGTTATATATGCTATACATGCTATACATGTTTTACATGTTTTACATGCTATACATGTTTTACATGCTATACATGCTATACATGTTTTACATGCTATACCTGCTATACATGTTTTACATGCTATTCATGCTATACATGCTATACATGCTATACATGGTATACATGTTTTACATGCTATACATGCTATACATGCTTTACATGCTATACATGCTATACATGCTATACATGCTATACATGTTTTACATGCTATACATGCTAAACATGCTTTACATGCTATACATGCTATACAAGTTTTACATGCTATACATGTTTTTCATGCTATACACGCTATACATGCTATACATGTTTTACATGCTATACATGTTTTACATGCTATACATGTTTTACATGCTATACATGCTATACATGTTTTACATGCTATACATGCTATACATGCTATACATGTTTTACATGCTATACAGGCTATACATGCTATACATGTTTTACATGCTATACATGCTATACATGTTTTACATGCTATACATGCTATACATGTTTTACATGCTATTCATGCTATACATGCTATACATGCTTTACATGCTATACAGGCTATACAGGCTATACAGGCTATACAGGCTATACAGGCTATACAGGCTATGCAGTCTATACAGGCTATACAGGCCATATTGACGGTTATTTCCAAAATAAAGAAATTAGTTTTAGCCTAATGGATGAAGGTTGGCTTCGAAGTAATCTGGAATTATAAAATATTTTTCTGGTTCAGGGGGCTTTTTTGATCATCGGTGCCATGGAGCTGAATGGTCTGGTCACCTCAATGTTGTTTAGGCCGCTGAGTATGCACCTGAGATTTTTAAGGGGTGACAGGTGAGTCAGGGATTCCATACAACGTTTTAGTTGACAAGTTCAAGGACAATCTCACTTCTAAAAAATCTCTCATAATTTAAAGCACGAGGTCATGCTAGGTAAATCAAAACTTAAAGGAAGACAATACAAAACAACAAAACAAAGGTTGTCGGGAATAATTTTCATCTGTCTAATCAAACACGAACACTAAACTGAAGAAACTCGCCGGAAGCTCGTCCTAAATGTATCAATCATCTTCCCTTCAATGCTAATATCAGCATTTTGTTCAAATATTGACTTGCGAAGTATTAATTTTGTGTCCCTTACATCATAGCTAATCGATAAAGATCAACCAAAACCAATTTTTTTATCTTCTTTTAGCATTAATCTGAATATTATTTGGTCGAACCGCATTTGTCTGTATTAAAATCTGTTCTCAGCCTCCTGTTTTAAATATAATGTTGTGATCATCCCTTTTGTATCAATTCCATTATTGATTACCTCAATTACCGGTACTTAAATAATTGATTCTTCACGTCATCTTACAGACTAAGGAAACAAAGACTAGCAAAGACACAAGATGATATGGCCTTGACAGGCCTGGTCCATCGCCATATGGACACCAACGTACAATTAGATGGTGTTTGCGATGTTCCAGGAAAAGCGATAAATGGAGAGTCGAAACTTGCACCTAGCGACTGCAACAAGATCAAAGGTCATCACTACGGGGACCTAGATGCACATTATACAACTTTGACGGAGTTTTCTTTGCTGGAGTGTGAGAAAAATTGTTCCGATGGGAGGATAGACAACTTTAAGAAAGAAACAGCTTCAAGAGAAATAGTGACTCAGTCATGTTTTGACAACCAAGGCGTCAGATCACAAATTGTCACAGATACAAAGATGAGAGCCAAGAAAGACAACTGGCTTAAAGCGTCTATAGCTATATGTTTCCCGATAGAGCACACCAGGAAAGGGGCAGATAAAAAGACAAAAACTTTTCACTGGCATCTGCTCAAAAACATTCCTTTTTTGATCTTCTGCATCAGCAACACTTTCTTTCTAATGGCCTTTAAAACAGCCTTCACCTTTCTTCCAGCGATGGCTATCTCAAAAGGCCTCAGTAAGACAGAGGCAGCGCTGGTACTGACCATATCTGGAGCATTGGATACGTTTGGAAGAATGGCTACAGGTAACACAGCACAACTGTCTCTATCCGTAATGATTCTATGAAACACGTGACTTTGAATTTTAAGTCTGTATTTTCAAGTCAACAGAGGTATACAAATTCTTTATAACTTTGACATTTCTGTCTTCTTCTTGGTAATGTTGATATTTTAAATATGAGGTCTGAGATTTAGGAGCAAGTTATCATCCCTTTGGCCCTACAGCCAATGTAGGGCTTTTTGCCTGTTCGATCACATCCTTTCACTCAAAATTGATGCTTTTCATTTCGATGCTTGGATTCCCAGCTGCTGTAGTTCCCTCTCCACATCACCCATTTATCTAGCCTAGGTCTGCCTTTGTGAGTTCCAAGTAACTTTATGTATATTTTTGTGTGGAAAGTTGGTACTGCTGAATGTAATCCCTTTTATTGAAAGAAAGTATATGAGTCGGATCCTATCGTCACTGGATTCTCTATGAAGCCTCAACTTGCAAGAAGTTAGGAAAAAAAAAACATGCTAAATTTAAAATATATTTAAAAAAACAATTATTGAATATAGTTACAACAAAAATTTTAGTTATGAATCTTGTTTATATTAAAATTGTAACAAATCTAAGTAATAAAAAGCTTGTAACAGAACATTTGTATAGACCTATAGGCAACACATTTAATTCAAAACGTCAAAATTTTTTATAAAATATACAAATAATTCAATTTCATGTTTTGACAGTTTGCAATGATCCTCTTATCTTTTGCACTAGACGTGAAATATTATTTATCACTTTCACAATCAAACGCAAATTGTAATTTTAATTGATAGAAGACAGTTCATTATTTTATAATTACAAATATATATTTATCAATTTAAAAAAAAATGATTTATTTATGGAACATTTTTTAAAAGAATATATATATATATATGTATATATATATATATATATATATATTTAAAAAAAAAAAAAATATATTTATTAAATAATTTAAAAAAATATATATATATATATATATATATATATATATATATATATATATATATATATATATATATATATGTGTGTGTGTGTGTGTGTGCAAACAAAAACCCTTGCTGAGTATATATATATATATATATATATATATATATATATATATATATATATATATATATATATATATATGTGTGTGTGTGTGTGTGTGCAAACAAAAACCCTTGCTGAGCTTCAAATCATTTCAAAAACTGCTGCTGAATATTTTAAAATGAATTTTTTGCAAGAAAGCTGGAAATTTAGCAGTAAAACTTTTCAAATTTAAACATCATTGATTTTTCACAAGGTATTTTTTTCCTAATCAATATTTTTTGAATATAGGTTTTTTAATGGACATCCCGGCATGTCGACCATTCCGGCCTTACGTCTTCAACCTTCTCTTATTCTTCATCGCTGGGGCGTCCTTCTTGGTACCCTCATTGGACAGTTTCACTTCTTTTTGTGTGGTCAGCTCTGCCTACGGGTTCATGACCGGTGCATTCATTTCCCAGAAGATGGTGGTGCTGATTGACATCTTAGGTAGGGAAGTAATGCCCAGCTCTTTGGGAATTAGCAAAGTTTTTCAAGGGATCGGAACTCTTGTAGGTCCACCATTTGCAGGTTAGATGTTTCTTTAATGTTATTTTTAATTTTTATTTTATTCATTATTTATTCTGGTGATGTATTCTTATAAAAATAAATCTAAATAACACATTTGATCCTTAATTTTTTTTTTTTGATATAGATATTTAGATTAAATCACTAAAGGGTTATCTTTCTTAGGTACACTGAGGTATGCCCTAGGAACATGTGATAGCTAATTATATCTACTGTCTTTCTTAGGTGCACTGGGAACATTTGGTAGCTCATTATATCTACTGTCTTTCCTTGGTGCACTGAGGGATGCCCTGAGAACATGTGATAGCTATTTATATCTACTGTCTTTCTTAGGTGCTCTGATGGATGCCCTGAGAAAATTTGATAGCTCATTCTATTACTCTCTTTCCCAGGTGCACTGGGGGATGTCCTGGGAACATTTGATAGCTTATTTTATCTACTGCCTTATCTAGGTGCACTGAGGGATACCGTGAGAACATTTGATAGCTCATTCTATCTACTATCTTTTCCAGGTGCACTGAGGGATGCCCTGGGAACATTTGATAGCTCATTCTATCTGGGGGGCGCCTGCATGTTGGGATCAGGCATCCTCATGGTCCTCAGTAATGTGTTACGCAAGATTCAGAGTAGAAAAGACATTCGTACATGACAGATATATGAATCACTGTTGCCTTTTTGGAAATATAATCAGAATAGGATTAAAAATATTACTTGAAGGAAAACATTTAATTCCTTTTGTTGTTTCTTTTATAATTGTGGTTTTTACTGTTGGCGCTCCTTCATCCCCCCCCCTTTTCTTCAACATGTACCAGTTTGCACCACTGTCAGTAACTCCGTCTTTGTCTACCCGACTGAAATAGACTTTCTGAAATAATATATGGGAGAGCATAGACATATGTCTGAGGATAGTCTACACAAAGAAACTATAAGAAGCTGTTTATGTATTTGAAGTTGCAAGCTTAGGGTTCCTCATACCATAGTCTGGCTCAAGGAGTTTGAAACCAGCAGAGACTGCCCGCTGTACTCAAAGATCTTCACTACTTTGATTGGCGAGTGAAACATCTGCGGTGCCTGGTCTTGTCTTGAGGCCGGACAAAATAAATAAATATCTAACATTTTGATTATCATATAATTTTATTAAATTTCATCTATCAGACAAACAGAATATGTATAAATTGACATGCTTTAAACATTTAGCCTTTAATTTTTAGCATGGGCCAAATAATATTAACATATAAATTATGTTTGAAACATAAAACTGAGATCAAAAAGATATTTATGAACATTCTCTTTGATAAATTTACATATAATAAAAGCATGGACAAATCTATGGAATGTTATCTTATTTAGAAAATAATAATGAATGGAATACAAATATGAAAAATATGTTTACTATTGGAACTCATAAATATGAATTGGCTCATTGAAATATTTATTTCTGTTGCTCACTCGTGTTCCAGCAATTTATTGGAGATCAAATATTATTTGATATCATTAAAATGAACAGCAGTAAGTTAAGCGTAGACATAACATTATGTCGAATGTACATAACCAAAATATTCATTTTCAATATATGTACGCCTATTCCACTGACTCACTCATCCACGGACACACTCACCCATCCACTAACACACTCACTCATCCACTGACACACTCACTCATCCACTGACACACTCACTCATCCACTGACACACTCACTCATCCACTAACATACTCACTAATCCACTGACACACTCACTCATCCACTGACACACTCACTCATCCACTGACACACTCACTCATCCACGGACACACTCACTCATCCACTGACACACTCACTCAATCACTGACTCGTTCAGTCTCTGACTAACTCTCTTAATCACAGACTGATCGTGATAGCTCAAGAAAAACAAGACATACAAAGTTGACATTTTGCATTGTTCCTCAACTTATAATCATGGTGTCCACTGACAATCTATTTGTAAAATAAAAATGCTGCTGGCTTAAAATGAAAAAATAAGCAGGCAGAAATAAATAAATAAATAAATACATAAATACATATATATATATATATATATATATATATATATATATATATANGTCTGTTTTTATTTTCTATTGTGATGTATCCTTTTATGGAGTTGTCTCTGTTTGGCTCTGCGTTTAAACATGCGCTAGTTTCATTTTGAGAATGATGAAAATCCAAGAAAAATATTGATTGTTAAGCTCTCAAGAAATGTTTTGGTGGTTAAAAATGAGCTGCTGATTAAGACTGACCTATATCTTTCAAAAAAAAAAAAAAAAAACGTTTGATCATTAATTAGTTGTGTTTTCATCATTATTTAAAATAATAAAAATACAACCTGGGTGATATTTTCCTATCTTTTTTAAGCATAAAAACTCACTGAGGGACTCAACATGTGGACATTTTGTATTCTAATTCCTCTTATATTCTATAGAAGATTTTTTTCAATTTTTTTTATGGTCACTTTTAATGGTTAGTTTTGAGAGTATGTTTTTGGTTTATTATTTCGTAATGTTTAGTTTGTTAACTGAACTTCTTTTGGTGTCAAGATCTATTGAGAAACTTTTTTGCTATTTTTTCATGACGATTTGAAACGTTGTATTTTCAATGTTTGGTCAAAGAATACAAGAGTTTGGCCTCCCTTGACCGTCCATCTTACGATCTGCACTTAGTCTACGTTAGCACCTGAGAGAGCTTTCTTACGACGTAGTTAAGCATTCAGCATCACTTCTAAAAACGTCAAAAGGTCAAGGCTAAACGAAGTCATTTCTATCATCATCACGAAGCGTTGCTTCAGATTCTTGTTGACTTTTTTCCATCGCATGGCGCTCCAGGTGGCAAATGGAAAACGTTCTTGATTTTACTGTTGCTTAATAGCCAAAGAAAAGGACAGAGATGGGGAGCGTGCTCGTTTAGAGCAGGAACATTGCAGCTCAATCTGCCTTCTGGCGACCTCTTCATTTCAATCAATGTGAGACTCATTGTGCAACATTTTGAAACATTGTAATACAGCTCAGCCACTTTGGGAGTACTAGATTATTGATTGGAACGAGTGCACCATGGCTTACAACGGGCAATTTAATGATTGGACAGAACAATTCAGGCATCCGGAGAAGAACATGCTGTATGGGCGGGATTATTAAACACGACCTGTCTCTCCTGATGAGGTCAACGCCTGTCTTAAGTCATTCCAACTAAGGCCTGGTGTCCAAGTCCAAACCTTGTGAATCAACGTGAGGGTTCGTCTAAAAAAACGATCTAAGGGCTGAGGGGTTCTCAATCTTTCTTCTCTAAATAGGATATGAGAATTCACATGAAGGTGTTAGCAAGATATATACTCCTGAAAATTTATATGAAGTCTCAGCAAGTTCGATTACTGCTACATACTTCAAAATTCTGGAAAGTGTGTGTGTGGGGAGGGGTGGATACAAAGAGCTTTGATCAAATAATCTGATAGTTAATTGATCTACACTTCATGTATATCAATATCTATTAAATAAGATTATTTGTTATTTCTTCTGAGCCTATCATATTGATTCAATAGCTTCACATGAGATTTTCAAAAACTAAGTCTTTATGTTTCAACATATTTAAACTTCTATATAATCTATTCTATGAATCACTTTCGCAAACGCGGTTGTGAAGCAAGAGTATTCAGAAATTTAAAAAAAAACCAAGGATATTAAAAATGATCTCATTTATAAACAATCTCAAGTACCCACATATGAGTCACGTGGGTGGCTTTGATTTCTTAATTAATACTTAGTATAGTCCTTAGATCAGTTAGTCAGTCTTCAAAATTACTTGTACATAAATTTCATTGATTTAGGAAAATATTTTTTTCTTAGAAACTTTGGTTGGATGCTAAGAAGCATCTTGTACAAAAATTAAAATGTTATAATGGAAGGGGCTGTCTGGGAGCAGTGGAAGCAGTGTTTCTTTTAGACAAATTCTTCCTGGGGTATATTTTAGATATTGCAGGGTGGCAGATGGGACAGTGGTCCCTGGGCGTCATACAAGCAGGGGCGCCTAAATGGGCTTTAATGGTATTAAATGGTTTAAAATAATGGGCTTCAGATTTAAGGGATGGACTTTATCCAACAAAACCACTTTGTTGATAAGTACTTAATGGACTCATATCCAACAAAACCACCTTGCTGATAAGTACTTAATGCACTCATATTCAACCACTTTGCTTACATAGCTGAAGCCTTATTCCTCACATAATTGTAAAAGAAAACCAAATCTTTCAGGGGTGTGTTCAAGCCGATTCCGTCCGGTCCAATTCGGTTCAGTCTGGTTCAGTGTCGTTGAAGTTCATCGGTAGTTAAGATTTTTACTAGTTTACCGAACCAGTTGGTAAAAATGTAATATATAATTGATGTATATCTCTATCTAATTATACCAATGTACATCCATTGAACGGCGGTTAAGTGACGAAAAGATTGTTTCTTTGTTGGCAGCACGCTTTGAGAAACTTTGCCAAAAAAGTTCACTATGGGATTGCACAGTCCTCAAAGTTTGTCATAAGGTACCTTCCAATCAATGCATAATTGTGGTGCATCACCTTTAATGAACTTTGGCTACAAAAAGCGTCTACCTGGGCTTATCCTAAAACTACAGGTAGGCAGGACTATGGAGTTATTACATCCCATTTCATTGCCTCGGAGACTGGGGGTTTTATGCAAGGGCCCCCATGGGGATACGTTGTCATCATTGATGTCTGTTGTAACTCCGAGTATTATATGCTGAGAATTTACATTTTAATAAAGTGTTAGTAGAGGCCGGTTTGAAATGCATTGAGACCTTGCTTGTAAGTAGACAGCTACCTTGGGCATGGCATCTTCCTTGGTAATAGTATGGTTCAAACAGCCATCATCTTTATTCATTAAAAATTTTTTTTTTTGCCTCAACAGTTTGATCTCCGATCTGTGAAAACCAAATCAACAACTTTAGCTGCCGATTTCTGTCAAATATTACAATACTTATGGCCACAATTTAGACTTTATTTTGTTCCATTCATTTGTTACTAAACAAATATATCTCCAAAATATCTTTGACAAAATCTATTTAGAGGTCTTATAAAATCTTATAAAGTTTTAAAATTTGTAGGTTTTAGGTTTATGAAATACACTTTCTACCCAATCAAGGTCAATAAATGGCTCCAAAACAGTCTTGATTAGGTCATGACGGGCTTTGAAGAATGCATCCAGTGCCTACCATCCAAATGTTATCCATCCTGATCCAATGATTATTCAACTCTTGACCAGACAATCCAATGTTCAGCCGACTCTCATTATCCCGATATAGGAGCTCTGAGAGTCAACCATACTTCTCTCCAAATCTGTATACGTCACAAACAGACTATCATTCATATAAAGTTCAAATAGACCACCTGGAGAAGAATAAAGAGTCTAGAAAAAATTTCCATTTTTTTTTTAAATATAAGCCAAATATTTCATAGTTAGAAAATTGGTATATAATTAACTTATTGTTTTAATATAAGTTTACCATTTATACTTTTTTGTTACCAGTAAAGTTTTTGTTTTTAGACATGTCCTGCTAAACCGTGAGTTGTAACCAGTACATTTTAGGACTTAATGGTTTTTTTGTTTTTTTTAATAATTGATTTCAATAAAATAAAAATCGGGTACATCTGACATCGAGGAAGAAAAACGATTCATCCAAATTTTGTTTACACCAATTGTGTCAAAACGATTCTAAATTTGAACCAAAAAAACAACAACCAAAAATGGTCAATTTAGAATAATAGAAATTCAATGCCATAGTCGAACAACACTCATGAGATATACAACTCTAGCAATAAAGTTACTCTTGCTGAATCAGATATACAACGCTGACAATATTGCTAATCTATCTGAATCAGATATACAGCATTGGCAACATGGTTAATCTATCTGAATCAGATATACAACGCCGGCAACACGGGTGGTCTAGTTCAGGTGCCACCGAACTACGGTCCGCGGGCCGGATCCGGCCAACGAGTCAAGTTCATCCGGCCCGTGGAAGTTATTTGAACTTGCTTAATTAAAAGTATGGAACACGAGATGATGTGATAAAATTTTTATTTCAATATTATGTTTAGACGTGCGGAGACCTCTTTGCTAACTGAGATCAGCATAAAACAAAATGTATTTACATAAGAATTGTTGACATCATTTTAAAAAACCCAACTTCTTTAGTAACTCGAGATTGTTGTTGTTAGGAAAAGATGTTTTTTTAAAAAATGACGAAATAAGAATCAATTTCCATTAAGCCTAATCCCGCTAATATCTTCTAGTCTGATCACTAGACACAAACTGTACATAGGTGAAAGGAAGAGGATTGTTGTAAACAAACGGGGACATTAACAATCGTTGGTTGTCTCTGCTTTTTTCTTCTTCTTCTAAATCTTAAGGGCACACCATCAATTTATTGATCATTTTGGCTCCTATGCATGTAGATGGGATTTGCAATGTTTCTATTCCTGACTTTTGCATTGCACGCCACCCACACATTATTAACAGGAAATACTAAACTTAGTTTTTCGTCTCTTTCGCAGAGCTTTCGTTCTGGATTGCAAGTATTGTACAAAATGATTTTCCTGTGCTCGTCATTTTTTCGTGATGTCCACTTCAGCCTACTGGTGTTTTATATTCAGTCTATTTCTGTGTTAAATTAAATAATTGACTGTGACATATTCAGTCTACATGAAAAATTCAGTCTACATACATTGTGTTAAATTCAACCTAATCATGTGACAAATCCCTTCTGCGGTACCTGGGTGTCTACCTAGATGGAAGATTAACTTTTGAAAGTCATATTAACATGCTATGCAAGGCGATTTTTCTAGAGCTGCGCAGGATTAGTCACATCAGGCCCTTCCTAACAATTGATGCAACAAAGAGGCTGATGTCTGCATTTGTGCTATCACGCATGGACTATTGCAATGCTCTTATGGTGGGTCTTCCAGCTACGCTCCTGGATAAAATTCAAATAGCACAGAATAATGCGGCTCGCATTGTTCTCCGCAAACGCAAGTTTGACCATGCAAAAACACTTCTGAGAGAGCTGCACTGGCTGCCAGTGCGTGCTCGCATGGAGTACAAAATCGCAACTTTGTGCTACCGCTGCTTACATGACCTGGCGCCGTCCTATCTGAAAGAGCTGCTGACGCCTTATGTACCCACTAGAGAGCTCCGCTCATCCGATAGTGGCAAACTCTCGACACCACGTGTTTGCCTTGAGACTTACGGAAAGCGCACTTTCGCATTTGCTGGTCCAACAATTTGGAATGCCCTTCCTGTCGATCTCAGAAACAACCAGACACTGGAGTCCTTTAAAACCGATTTAAAGACACATCTATTTCGCAAACACCTTCTGGGATGATTGTCAACATTATTTTCCAGTTAATGCATAATGGCTGTGTTGCTTATGGTTGAAATGGCTAGAAAGACTTTGCCATTGTATACTTGTATTTAGTTTTTGTCGTGTTGCGTGTTTTTTAAATGTGGTAAACTATAGATTTGTTTTTTTTTTGACTTTGTACCGCGCTTCGAGCCTTTGGGGATGAAGCGTGTTTTTGAAATGAAATTTATTATTATTATTATTATTCTAAGTATGTGACAAGTTCAGCCTTGTCTTGAAGGAAAAAAACAGTACCTTGGACCTTAAAGGATTCTTTGACATACCTGTAACCAGTGTTAGCCATTAATTGCCTCACCTGTAAAGCTTGTCGATGCACTGGAGTTTAATGTACCGTGAGAGTATGTTTTCACCAATTTGCTCAAGGTCGTATTCATGCCGTGTCTGCTATTTCTTATTTCGGCCGACAAGTAGGTGCTCTAGAATGTAACAGAAAGAATGTAATAAATCATTGGGCCATTATGTTGCCCCACAGGTCGGTGCTCTAAAATGTAACAGGTAGAATGTAATAAATTAGTGGTCCATTATGTTGCCCCACAGGTCGGTGCTCTAGAATGTAACATGTAGAATGTAATAAATTAGTGGTCCATTCTGTTGGCCCACAGGTCTGTGCTCGGTGGTTTATTATGCTGGCCCAATGTGTAGGTTTGTGCAATCCATAAATACAGACAGCATAACTGTGTTAGATGGTGCCATTCCATAACTACAGACAGCATAACTCAGTTAGTGCAATCTGATAACAACAGAAATCATAACTTTGTCAGTTGATGCAATCTTTAACTACACACATCATAACTCTGTTAGTTCGTGAGATTCCATAACTACAGATAGCATAACTATGGTATAGTAAAACGAGGTAGGTGGAAGCTTGAATTAGAGAACAGGACAAAAAGATAAGGACGTTTCGGCGATTGTGTGCCGTAGATGCCAATCTAGTTACATAGGTGAAACTTGGAGAAGATTGGCTGATAGGTTTACTGAACATCTCCGGGCTTTTGAGCAATGTAAACCTTCCCAGTCTCTTCTCATTTCAACAGAAAAAACATAAAGGTGCACTGGCTGTAATCATTACGCCACTTACTTCACGCAGTAACCCATCAGAGAGAGTTAAAATGGAAAATAAATTTATTCAGCTGTTTGGCATCATTTCTCCATATGGTATTAAACAAATAATATTCTACTGATGTTTCTGTTTCCCTATTTTTCATCAATTTTCTTATTGCTGTGTGTTTATGTATCCATGGATATTCTGGTCCATTATTATTGTGGACCTCATGTTTCACAGTGTCAATATTTATAGTCTCTCGCTTCCTGTGTTCCCCCTTAGGGCGACAATAATGGATACTTCTTGAGTTGTCTACTGTGCTCTATTCTTTGTGATATTTTCATGTCTACTGTTAACTGAAGAAAGTTTTATGCCGAAGCGTCCTTATCTTTTTGTCCTGTTCACTAATTCAAGCTTCCACATATCTCGTTTTACTATTTCATTCATTCACTAGGCTTGAATGTAATCTTTTAATTTATATTGTATAACTATGTTAGTTTGTGACATCCCATAAATACAGACATCATGACTTTGTTTATTGGTACCATCAGATAACTACATAGAGCATATTTGTGTTAGTAGGAGCCATTCCTTAACTAAAGACAACATAACTCTGTTAAATAGTGCCATCCCATAACTACAGACATCATATCTCGGTTAGTTGGGGCCATTCTATAACTACGGACAGCTTAACTGTGTTAGCTGTTGCCATCACATAACTACAGACAGCATAACTGTGTTAGCTGGAGCCACTCCATAGCTACAGACAACATAACTCTATTAGTTGGTGCCGTCCCATAACTACAGACAGCAAAACGGTAGTAGATCGTGCTATCCCATAACTACAGATATCATAAATTTAAATGTGTTAGTTGGTACCATCCCACAATCCTACAGACCATATAACTTTGTTAGCTGGAGCCATCCCATTACTACAGACATCATAACAAGTTTAGTTGATGCCATCTTAAAACTACAGACAGTTTAAAACCTAATCATTTAATATAGTTTGAAGACCTAATCATTCAATATAGTTTGAAGACCTAATCATTCAATAAAGTTTTAAGACCTAATCATTCAATTTTGTTTGAAGACGTAATCATTCAATATAGTTTTAAGACCTAATCATTCAATATAGTTTGAAGACCTAATCATTCAATATATTTTTAAGACCTAATCATTCAATATAGTTCTAAGACCTTATTATTCATTATACTTAATGTAGATATGTGGAATAAAACAGTTCCCGTCTAAATGTTCCAACCCACCTGGCTGCAGTTGAACTGCTTGAAGTGAACCTTTGAGTAGACATAGTACCATCCCCGTCGGGCTATTCCAATGTTTTCGGTCATATTAACTTTGGTGTTGAGTGAAGCTTGGGGATATGCAGGCCTTTTACAATCTATGGACAGCACCAAATGTGGAGGTTGTCAAATGTCATAAAGCATCATCATGGGGGAAAATAAACTTGTGGCAACATCAATTTCTTTATTATCCCAAAATTCTAGCCCCCAGGTAACCACAGGATCTGCAATAACACCAACCTCAGGGGAGAATATATTCAAAATATTACAAGTTATTGCCTTATGTTAATGTATAAATAGCTTAACACTAACAAAACTTATAGGGCATAAACTTTCTATGGAAATCCTATGACAAATATCCGTCATATAATCCCCTGGCCTGTTGGATTTCCTGCTAGGGTAGTCGTAAGTCAACTCCTGGCCCAATGTAATACTCTTCCAACCCAGGCCAAATGGTTATTTCGGTGTTAATATATTCAAGGGATTTTTTGGGGAAGGGGGGGGGGCATGGTGTGGGGGGTGGTAAGTTTTTTTTTTTGCAGAGATTAATCCATCAGTAATTAACGTGGGCTAGAGACTATAGAGCTTTCTCCTTTAGTAGGAAGTATCGATTGTCATGTCTAAAAATAAAAATAAACGTTTAATATGATTTAATAACTGAGAGCTTAATCTTTTCCACATAAAATACTGACCTTTGCTTAAGTTAGAGTCGTTTAGAATCTGCAATTAATTAAAAAAGTTTAAAAACATTGAATGACATAGAGCAGGCCTGCACAACATACGGCCCGCAGGACGCATGCGGCCCACCAGCAGCATCTTTGTGGCCCGTTAAGTTACGAATTATTCTTTATTCTTATTATTTTCTTGATAGCCCCCCCCCCCTTCCCCTCCCTTTTTTCTTTATCTTTGTGGCCCGTTAAGTTACGAATTATTCTTTATTCTTATTATTTTCTTGATAGCCCCCCCCCCCTTCCCCATCCTATTTTCTTTTGGCCAGCACAAGTTTTTCATAAAGGATTTTGCCCGCCTTACATTTTGAATTGTGCAGGCCTGGTACAGAGGATAACAAAATTGCTATCAGTTTAGATCACACAAAAGCTTTGACAAGTAATTAATAAAGATAGCTTTGACTAGTACTTTATGTTGAAAGCTTTGACTAGTCTTAAAAGTTGATAGCTTTGACAAGTCATTATTGTTGAAAGCGTTTACAACCCATTAATGTTGAAAGTTTTGACTAGTCACTAATGAAATCTTTCAGTAGCCATTAATGTTGATAGCTTTGACGAGTCTTTATGTTTATAGCTTTCGCTAGTCATGAATGTTGATAGCTTTGACTAGTCATTAATGTTGATAGCTTTCACTAGTCATTAATTTTGATAGCTTTTGCTAATCATTAATGTTGATAGCTTTGGCTACTCATTAATGTGGATAGCTTTGATTAGTCATTAGAGTTGATAGCTTTTCCTCAAACCATTTCTTAGCTTAGCAGAGGGGGATTATAAACTAAGTATTAATATTTTCTAAAGTCGTGTTCTTTTTCAATAGATTAAAAAAAAAATCTTGCTGAACTCTGTGCAGTAATTCATTGCATTACCCACCCACTCCCACCCACTTCCACATACAAAATGTTTGCCAATAGGGGGAATGGTAAAATCTTCTTTTAAAATAAGCCCCATTGTTGGTACCAATGGTTTAGGAAGGTGGCGGACTGGGTTTTTCGCCCCTGGCAGCACTTTGTTTTAACATTAGGTGCAAACTGCATACTTGGTTTTCTCGTAGAATGGTGTGGGGGAATGCTTTTCACCCTCCTGTGTGAACTAACCCTATCTATACCACTGGTTGGTACATTTTTTTTTCATTAATTTGATGGGGTCACTAAATCTCTCCTTTCGATTTTTAGAAAATATTATTTAATATCAATGACATGGGATAGCGTTTTTAAATTCATTTTTGAGGTCTTATCTATCTATAACTAAAGACAACATTGGCGCTCCAGTGATGTTCCCACGCGAGGCAATTACCACTTAAAGCCTTTGCCTCAACGTGGCACATTTTAAAATATAAAAGTTCAACACTAAATTAGCACTGATGTATTACTAATAGAATTACATCAATGAAATGTTGGACTACATGAAACATGACCAGGACATGTTCACAAACACCTGGAGCATTTCTGAAAGTCTTAAGAAAAAGTTTAGATTAAAATATTCTACATCAGTAGATAAGATATAAACAAAGTCTATACCCACATAGTATACGCACATTGTATACGCACATTGTATACATTGTATACCAACATAGTATATGCACATAGTTTACCCACATAGTAAACGCACATAGTATACCAACATAGTATACGCACATAGTATACCAACATAGTATACACACATAGAATACCCACATATTACACGAACATAGTATACGCACATAGTATACCAACATAGCATACGCACATAGTATACCAACATAGCATACGGACATAGTTTATCCACATAGTATACGCACATAGTATACGCACATAGTATTCGCACATAGTATACATTGTATACCAACATAGTATACACACATAGTATACCAATATATTATACGCACATAGAATACCCACATAGTATACGAACATAGTTATGTAGTACACTTTTCCCCCTGATTGAACTTTGTTTCACCCCACTTTAGATTCCTACCAGACGTTAGCATTTGTTGTGGCCATGGTTGATCTCTTTGATGTATCGTGTTTACTACCGACGACCAATTAAACATGGTTAGTCTGTCTCCTAGTCTCTTGTCGAAGGTTCTCGATTTGCCGAGAAACGTAAACAAATGCTGAGTAGCTTCTGGAAGGCAGGGCCCACGCTTTATATATAACGGGATTGACAGACACAGAGAGAGAGGGATTTCGAGAGATATTTTTAACTTCACGAGACGTGTATTATTCTTTCTGTGCTCATATGTGTTTGTTCGCATTGATCATTCATTATTATTAATTCGCACATTGTACTAACAACTGTGTACCGGTACAAGATTTTCCAATGCTCTGTAAGTTGAGGATTTGTAATTATATTTCTTTTGTTTGTAATAGTTGTTACGCACTGACTTGTATTAAGAGAAAGTAATCTCCTATTTTAAATTTATGGCTCGTTCAACGAGTGCCTAACAAAGGACGATACCATATAGAAATACAATAACACAAGTACGACACCCAAAACAGTAAAAATTTCAATTAATAAGATTTAATTCAGTAATAATACAATTATAAAAAAAAGAAATATAATTATAAATTATCGACTTACAGAGTAGTGTAGAGCTAGTACCGGTACACAATGTGTACAATATGCCAATGAATGAAAATGCGAATAAACACGTATAAGCACACAAAGAATAATACACGTCTCGTAAAGTTAATAAAACCTATCTGAATCTCCGTTTAAATCTTTTTTATATACATGTAGCGTAAGACGCTTCCAGAAAAGAATTAGTACGTCTTGTTTACATGTCCCGGGTTATCGAGAAGATTCGACAAGATACCAGGAGACATAATACCCAATGTGTAATTGGCAGTGGTTGTCAACAAGATACATCAAAGAGAATTTAAACCACGCCCAAAACAAACGCTACCGTACTGTTTTGGGTGTCGCATTTTTGTTATTGTATTTCTCTATGGTAACGTCCCTTGTTAGGCACTGTTTGAACGAGCCATGAATTTAAAATAGGAGATTAATTTCTCACAATAGAAGGCAGTGCGTAACAATAGTATATGCAATATGCACATAGTATACGCTCATAGTACACACACATAGTATTCGCACATAGTATACGCATATATTATACGAACATAGTATATATGCACATAGTATACGTACATAGTTTTTGCACATAGTATACACATATAGTATATGCACATAGTGTACGCACAGGGTATACACACATATAATATACACATGCTATACGCACATCGTACACTCACATAGTATTCGCACATAGTATACGGACATATAATACCCACATAGTATACCCACATAGTATACGTACATAGTATACGCACATAGTATACCCACATAGTATACGTACATAGTATATGCAAATAGTATACGCACATAGTATTCACACATAGTAAACGGACATAGTATACGCAAATAATATACACACAAAATACACACATAATACACACACATAGTACCCACATAGTATAAACACATAGTTCAAGAACATAATAAATACACATACTATACACACATACTATACACACAGAGTATACATCCTGACAGATAAACATGCTCTAGACCTACCGACTGTAAAAGACTTTGGAAATGTGAGACATTCTTCGTGCAGCATTGCAACTGAACATCATGTTTATGTACCCAATCACCGCCCGTCTGGGAGCGCAAAGGGTGGTTGCACGGAAGGCAGATCTCAAATGATTCCTCCCGCCATCGGGTGTTATTCCACGCCACTGCATCGGTTCCCAGCTCAACGCTGACCAAGAGGCCACATGAAGCCAAACTAAGTATCAGGGACAGGCCAGTTAACGTCCATATCGTATTTCTCCTCAACAGGCACATGGTTGTTTTTGTGCGAGCTCTCGGCTTGTTGTACTTTGGGCCCCTTCTCTTACAGCAACGCCAACGTTTTTTAGAGCGGGTCCCAGTTGGCCGGAACACTCTGTCAATGCTTTCTTTTTGTGACGTAGAAACAATGAGACGTTCCCCAGTCGTGATTGTGGGGTCAATACGGTCTTTGGATGTTCGACAGTGAGATTGGAATGAAATAATGGGGCGATTCCGCAGACGGCACTCTGGTGAACAGAGGGGGGTCGTGAGACAGTCGTGATGAGGCTCGTACGAAGGTAAACGCTCAGAATGATTCCGAGACGTCGGGCCTTGATGTGTCAAGGTGGTAGTTTCCTTTTGAACTGTTCTGTGAGGCACGGGAGGAGGTCGTAATCGCACGGGGTTATTTGGGGGGCCCGGGTACCAGGTGGAGCCAGTGCGTATTGAGCATGCCAGACTGTGTGTCGACTCGGTCCGAGGACATCTCGACTCAAAGTAGATGGCGTCCAAGCTTTCGTCGTGGGCTGACGTCACACCACTCGAGGTATCACATTGAACAGAGTAGGCGATAGTACCAACCGAGTCGTACCAATCTTTGTTGGAGATGATGCAGTTCTCAAGGGAGCTGATACTGCTCTTGTGCGAGTTGATACTGCTTTCATGAGAGCTGATACTGCTCTCGTGGGAAAGAAAGCGATGAGAGTTTATTGAAGCTTTAAAGACGTCATCAATACTTGAGTCGTCGTTGATGGTCTCGATGAAAGAAGTTCTAGAACTTGTGGAATACATTGCACGGGTTTTCTTAGAACTCGATCAATTTTTTTTGCTCACACTACAATATTTCCACTGCTTTAAAAGAGCTAATAACACTAGTGTGACTCTCCAAACATATAAAGAAATGTATACGCATGTGTCTCCTGGCATTGTACATCATTAGATTTACTTAATTGTATAATCTGCGTCTATCAAAATCCACATCAAGTTTATATTTAGAAATATACAAGTGTAGCAGTGTTTTATTGTTTCAAATATTCCACTCCAACTAAAACTTTTTACCAATCACACAATACGCCAAGAAACGTCTGAGTCGAACTAAGAATATGTCGAAAGACGTTAGTACACAGTTATCAGTCTACTTTCAAACACAACACGTTGTATACACGGTGTTTCATTCCACATGACACACACAGGAAGGCAGGTTCGAGACCAAAGTATTCTCACCCAAGCGAACAGAGACGTTTTTTCCTAGAAACTTTATTTTCATAACAGATCGAGTCCATTCAGCAATACACTATGACGTTAAGAGATTGAGGCCATTTACCAATACATGCTGAGGTTAAGATATTGAGGCCATTCACCAATACACTATGACGTTAAGAGATTGAGGCCTTTCACCAATACACTATGACGTTAAGAGATTGAGGCCTTTCACCAATACACTATGACGTTAAGAGATTGAGGCCTTTCACCAATACACTATGACTTTAAGAGATTGAGGCCTTTCACCAATACACTATAACATTAAGAGATTGAGGCCATTTGCCAATACATGCTGACGTTAAGACATTGAGGCCATTCACCAATACACTATGACGTTAAGAGATTGAGGCCTTTCACCAATACACTATGACGTTAAGAGATTGAGGCCTTTCACCAATACACTATGACGTTAAGAGATTGAGGCCTTTCACCAATACACTATGACTTTAAGAGATGGAGGCCTTTTACCAATACACTATGACTTTAAGAGATTGAGGCCTTTCACCAATACACTATAACATTAAGAGATTGAGGCCATTTGCCAATACATGCTGACGTTAAGACATGTAGGCCATTCACCAAAACACTATGACGTTAAGAGATTGAGGCCTTTCACCAATACACTATGACGTTAAGAGATTGAGGCCATTTACCAATATACTGTGACTTTATGAGATTTAATTTGAAATGCTTTAAAGATGGGTTTAATTAATTTAATGCCCGATATAATGTCCCCAGCCATCTGCATCTTAATATCTTACCATACGCTTGATCTAAACTTTAGAAAGAAATGAGCTGACTCTTGGCCTAAATAACATGTAATACTATCAGTAGACAAACATTATTCCAGACCATGACCAAATCAGTAGACAAAAATTATCCCAGACCATTACCAAATTAGTAGACAAACATTATCCCAGACCACGACCAAATCAGTAGACAAAAATTATCCCAGACCATTACCAAATTAGGAGACAAACATTATCCCAGACCATTACCAAATTAGTAGACAAACATTATCCCAGACCATTACCAAATCAGTAGACAAAAATTATCCCAGACCATTACCAAATTAGGAGACAAACATTATCCCAGACCATTACCAAATTAGTAGACAAACATTATTCCAGACCATTACCAAATCAGAAGACAAAAATTATCCCAGACCATTACCAAATTAGTAGACAAACATTATCCCAGACCATGACCAAATCAGTAGACAAAAATTATCCCAGACCATTACCAAATTAGGAGACAAACATTATCCAAGACCATTACCAAATTAGGAGACAAACATTATCCCAGACCATGACCAAATGAATAGACAAACATTATCCCAGACCATGACCAAATCAGTAGACAAACATTATCCCAGACCATAACCAAATAGTTGGAAATACATAATAGCAGACATCACCGAACAAGTAGACAGAGATAATCCAATTTTAATTCACCGCTATTAATCTATAAAATTCCACCACTATTCCAAAAGTATAAAATGTGTCAAACTTAATTGGTCTTCTCTAACGATGATGCTATCCATTCGAACAACGACGTTTACCAACAGAGACATCTTAAGAAATGTCTATAACATTTAATGACCGAACACCACAGGTGAACATATTTTCTTTTTCTTTATATGTTGAAGAGTAATGCCGAGAAAGTTTTAAAAAAAAAAAAACAACTTTTTTTTAAAAAAATGGTTCTGGAAAATTTGTCCTGTCAACGGAAGGGAAAGTCTAAACTCCTTGCTAATGAATGTGACTTTCGTCGGACAGAGAGACCCTCATTCTTAAAATTTCTTGACCCTCGAACACATAGACAGAAGTTTCCTCACTACAGCACAGTGACTCTCATTTCTGAAGTGTCCTCACTACAGCACCGTGACTCTCATACAGCACAGTGACTCTCATACAGCACCGTGACTCTCATACAGCACCTTTGCTTTCATGTCTGGCAGCGCTAAGCTTTGTCCAACCTGTGTCAGGTAAAAAATGCAGATATGTCCTTAACCAAAAGATGAGCGGACGTATTGCTGTAAAGAGACCCATTTCCAACACATGCCCAACACACCTCAGGAAAAACGCGCACGTTCCCGTTACGTTTAGTCAATTTCAGTACCGTAACTTTTGGCGTATGCTGTATTTCCCGTGACTCGGTTCATCATTCAACATCCCTAAATACGATTTTAAATAACTTCATTAGGTTTTAAGGCGCTCAACTATGTCGAATCGCCTTATTGACTCAAACATTGAACATCTGAGGTTTTTCTAAGCAATCTTATCGTCCCCTTCATCCATCTCAGGCCAAACCTTGTCCACTAATCATATGCATGAGGTCAGGATCAGGAAAAGTTTACATATTTTTTATGGAGATGCCACCAGTGCATTTGCCACAACAAAACATATAGCAATTTGGTTGTAGAGTAGTTATGATGGCAAACAAAAGATAGAGCAATTTGGTTGTAGAGTAGTTATGATGGCAAACAAAAGATAGAGCAATTTGGTTGTAGAGTAGTTATGATGGCAAACAAAAGATAGAGCAATTTGGTTGTAGAGTAGTTATGATGGCAAACAAAAGATAGAGGAATTTGGTTGTAGAGTAGTTATGATGGCAAACAAAAGATAGAGGAATTTGGTTGTAGAGTAGTTATGATGGCAAACAAAATTGTATAGTCTGCAGATTAAAAGTTGAGATTTTTTTCCCCATTAGCTTGGCTTCGACAATTCAGTAGATACATCTAAAGTTCAAACAGATTAGTTCGTAATTTTCTAACATCTAAATAATAATTAACTGTGTTATTTTGTTTACACAAACTATAATATGTTTTTAGATTAAGACTGCTATTTTACGGCTTTTTATCTTCTGTGTTCTCCAGCCCTGTTTTATATTGTATTATTTTATACATTTTGTAATGTATTATTAGCCGTTAATATCAACCTGAACACTTGTAGGAGAGAATGGAGTACTCAAATGTAAATCTGCAATGGGCGCCAAAATTTTTAAGGCTGCCACTGCATGAATATGTGGCACAACGGGTAAAAATAACAAGATATGTTGAGTTACTGGCCCATCCATAATCTCACTTCTTTAGTATCAACTTTATAAAGGAGATAAAGGGCTTGAATAATTGCACAATTTTTAGACGAGTGAATACAAGATTTGTCTGTACTATAAGCTTTCTTTTGCGTTATATTTATTTTTTTATTCTTATGGAGAACTTCATCAATTTTCGGTTCCGTTCGAGATAGAGTGATTCAATAAGAACGCGTCCATGGTGTCCACGGTGTCCACTAATGGAGATAGTGAACAGATCGTGATGAACTTAAAAATAAACGTCAAACGCTGGTCCCTTTAATTGCCAGCACAGGTCTCCCCATCGTGTTTCGGTTTCTGGTTAGCCCGCCATTAGTCATGTATAACAAATTTAGACTTATATTTCCTGTTCTCGGGCTACACGCCTAACTAGAATCACAACATAGTATGCCCTAGGTAGCAAAGAGAGTAGGGTCAATTGTAAGGCCAAAAGCGCAAAATAAAATTCGCGATACCTGTGTTAAATAAGATTCTTAAAGTTTGTTTAGTGTGTATTTTTTTCGTTTTTAAAACGGCTACTGTCCCAATTTAATTATGGTTTAACAAATTTGCGGTGTAAATTGGGGAGTGAGACGTTAGAATATGAATAGCGTTCAGGGGCGTGAAAAAAAGTGTGCGTAATAAACCGGTTTGTAGATGGGGGGATCAATACTAATATTAATATTGATTATTATAAAGAGCATTACTTGAATACATGTTTTGTGAAGTACTTTAAGTAGCTGGGAAGTTAACACATTGCTTCCACCCTGATGTGGCGGATTATAACTGTATGTTTAATAAAGAGTGTTAAAGAAATTTTTGTATTAGTGGTACGTCTAAATAACAGACTCAAAAGTCACTGGAATGTTTCAAAAACAACAAAATGTAAATAAATAAATAAAAATATTTTAAAAATTTTAATAAATAAATGTATCTACATTATAGGGTCAATGGAGACGTTGAGATTTGGAGAAGTGTAAAGGGACTTAATTTCAACGCAGATTAGTACAAGGATCTTCACCTGTTCAATAAGATTTGCTCCTCTTATGATGCCTTTGTGTATATATACATTTCAGATTTGTAAAGCTTAAAAGAACTTGATCTTCGCTGAAATTATATACATTTTAGATGGCTTTAGGCTTTGATGTTAGACCTGCTACATTGTGTTAAGTTGCAGTATGCCACCTCTTCACCCCCCCCCCACACACACACAATCTTACAAAAAACGAGATTTACTCATCGATCTAAAAATACCCTGACCATCAACAGGAAGTTATAAAGAACAATATAATTTTGATTGTATTTAAAACTGATAAGAAAGCTTGTTACGCACTGGCTTATAATATGAAAAAGGAATCTCCTATTTTAATTTTAAGTGGCTCGTAGTAAACAGTGCCTAACAATGGACGATACCGTAAGAGTCGACAATTTTAAAGATACGACACCCAAAACAGTTTGTAGTTACAATTAATAAGGTTTATTATGTCTTAATATAATTACACAATAAAATAAAATATAATGACAATCTTCAATTTACAGTATTGTAGATCATGTACCGGTACACAGTTAACACAGTTCGTATAATGTGCCAATGAATAATGATGAAATGCAAA